TAAATTCAAAATCAATATATGACCAGTAAAATATATGAATGTCTAACACATTTGTAAAAGTCCCTGTGTACTACAGTCATTGGTATGAATATATCACATACTGTGATACATACTATTTTAAATGGATACTGAAATAAATAAAATTGTATTTTATATTTTATTTCTTGGACATTCAGTCACATGTAAAATGCTAAATAAGGACTTGGTTTGTTTTGTTTTCTTTTTTTTTTTTTTTTTTCTCACAAAATAATTCCAGTTCTTGCAACGTAAGCTGGAGAACTACTGGTTGTGCCAAACTGGGGAGAGTATTACTTCGCTGTTGCTTTTGGCATCTCAGTAAGTGGAAAACTTATGTCTGTGCGGTGAATGAATACTTGCCCTCTGAGGAATCAAACAGTCCTTTGAGTTCAAAAGGACTGCTTCATTCCCTTCAAAAGGTTTTAACTGGCAAGTCCAACTAAAGCTATTCCATCCTTATATGTAACTGCTTGAGCAACCAGCAGATCTTATTCTTACGGCCCCTCTGTAAATTAGAACCTTACCTCAAATTTCAATAGCGTCATAATATAATGAACAAAATGGCTATTACTTGGCTAAAGTGGGTTTGAATGGAATGCTGCAAAAGAATCAAGAATACTTTATGTTGTTGCAAAACTAGAGCTGGGACATAATACAATAATAAAAAAAACTATCGCGATAGGCATATAATCAATAGAAAATAGAAAATCTGATAGAAAATCAGATAAAGTGTAGATAATTTAATTAAACTCTGTTTCAGAACCACACGGCATTCTGGGGGGTGAAGACAGAGGAAAGACTTTAGCACTCAACTTCTCATGGCCCAGCTAAGCAAGGTGGGTGGCATCAACTACCTCACTCACTTTGGTAAGCTAACAACGACTTACTGAGTAACATCTGCAGTAGCACTTTCTTGTTGCCTCCAACATATTCAGACACACTAACACAGAAACCGTATGACAGCAAACAACAATTATCCTATTCAAAGATCTTTCTGTAGAGCATATCTAAAATATTTGAGAGAACATGCAGCATGAAGACCTAGGAGTAATGCTACTTCACATGCTGTTGGCTGGCGATTATAAAGCAGCCAGTTCAAGAGTGTCATTCATATTCCCTGTCACTGACTGGCTGTGCTCCCAAGAGTGGACACAAGGGAGACTTTGTTTCTACACACAACAAATCTGGGATAAACTTCCAGAAAATTGCAAAACAGCTGAAACACTGAGTTGCTTCCAATCAAGATTAAAAACCTACCTACCTTTGATAAGTAGTAAATGCAACATTAATTGACATATTTGAGTGTCTTGATGATGTCGATTATGGCAAAATGCAAAGTTTACTCCTTTTTTCATAATTGGTGACTGTATGGCATTTTTACAATATAAAGCATATAAAGTAATTTTAACTGCAGACATTGGCTTCTGTGGTAGTAAGATGGTTTCCATTGTGCTTATTGAGGCATTTTCAGGTATATTTGCTTTTAGTTATATGTGTTTTTAGAGAGAATCTCAAGTAATCACAGATTGTAGCTATTTGTGAGCAGTTGTGGTCTCTGAGCCTTGCAAATACCAGAGGTCTACTGTACATTTGCTTGCAAATGCTTGCAGAAACAATTAAAAATTCAAATGCTGCAGTGTCCCAGTGGTAATGTTACCTAATTTTAGCCCATTCTAGGCAGACACTTTGCTCAACTTAGAAGTTGGTGTCTGATTAATTCAGGTAATAATTTTTGACCACTTGGGGGAGATTCATGTAGCACTGAAATTGCATTCTAGGTGGTCAGCTGGGACCTGGTCATAACGCACCAGGACACTGCAAATTCCAAAGCATTCATCTCCAGTATGCATGGAATGTTTTACAACAGGAGCCAATCAAAGTTAACTCAAACACTTCAAAGACCCAACAGGACTCGTTGTTCTACAAAATCTCCTCCTTCTGCTGAAGTTTAGACACACATAACCGGTATGTTTCTCCGAATACCAGTTCAGATGGCAAGATTAAAAAGAAAAAAAAAGAAAAAGAAAAACAACGTGCCAGCATTTGAACAGCCACAAGTTCTGTAGGAGCCTGAAGGAATTCATGTTCCAAAATGAACTCAGATATATGCTGAATTGTCAACTAATGTCATTTGATGACCATGTAGGTTCATGAAAACATTACAGTGAAAAAGGTGTTGGGTAAGAGGAAGACCTGTCTTTAAGGCTACAGAAAAATTCTGTAAGTTTCATTTTGTCTGAAGAGGCGAATAAACCGAGCACCATTTGACATGGATTCCATTGAATGTGCATAATGTTATGCAATTTTCTTGTAAGCGTTTTAATATATGTGAAGTAAGGCAACAGCTGCTCCCACACGTAAAATACTTTTTTTTCATACCTAATAAAACACAAGCCTCTGTAAGCTTTCAGTTTTTTTTTTTTTTTAGAAGTGTTTCACAATTTCCTTAGGCATATCAAGATATAGCAGGCCAACATAAAAGGTTTTCTTTTGCAGGGAGGGGAGTTTTCACACGCCTGTTCACTGTGGTGATCTTGACCTTAGTGCTTCACTCCCAGTTTAATCTCTGGCATTTGTACAGAACTTCTCTGGCCTGTTTTTCTTTCATCAAAAAACATCTCGTTTAGGTCCTGTTGTGTCATTAGATGTGCTCAATCGGCAGAAATATCAGCGCAACACAGGTATTGGCTCAAATGCGTCTGCAATGTTTCCGCATAGACATTCTAGCATAATCCTGATGGGATGAATGCCAAGTTATGAAAAAGCTGCAGTTCATGTGATGGTGAAGTTCTTTTCAAACTCCCTCCTGTCTCTTGCCATACTATCCAGGCACAAGCTGACTTTCTGGAGAGCTCAAAATAAAAAAATATCTTATGCTGTCAAAATAAATAAAGGTTAGAACTTCAAAGCATATCTTCAGGACTTGCACGGAGAGAAATCAGGTCTGTCGCTCATGACCAAACAAACTCCTTCAGAGGAATTTAGACTCAACACCAGCTGTAGATCTGACATTTTGATGGTCTTGGCAACCGAGCTTTGGCTTTAGAGGCCATGTACTACTGGGCTTTGCACATTTTCTTATGTGAAAACCACAATGTTATTGGAATTGTATGTGGAAAACCAACAGAAAGTAATGCTTTACTGTTAAGTTGAATGAACATGGATTACATGGTTTTCAAAATATTAACAAAATTAAAATCCGAAAAGTGAAGTATGCAATTGTATTAGGCTAAATTTATCCTGTCACAAATAAAATCCAACGCCAAACTAGAAAGAAATTGAAAAGGATGACAACAATGCTAAGCCTGAATAATAAAAAATAATAATCATTGAGTAGGTGAATCTGAAGGCAATTATTTACACTATTTTTCATCAGGGTAAAATAAGGTTGAATGACCCTTCAGTATCATTTTCCGTTTCCTTCACAACTATGTACTACTTTAATGCAATCAAATACATTGCATTATTCTGCTGTAATGCAAGGCTCTATAGGGACATAGAAGTTCAGTTCATCAAACTCATACAAAAATGAGGAAATATCCAGACAAGTGTAACATTTTCAGTAGTTTTATTGAAAAATGCCTCTTCCGTTTCAGAAATAAATAAGAAAATAAGGCTGTGTGTAAATTCACAAAATGTGCAGTTGAAACAGTTGGGAAAAAAAGCAATCCTATATCCATAGTTTTGCCACCAAATCCAAACTGCTTTGACAGAAAAAAAAGGGGGAAAAAACCCAACTATATTCTGACTTCAGTAAATATACAACATATTCATGCAATGTAACATTTGGTAACACAACAACAACAACAAAAAAAAAAACAGATTTGATTTGCTACAGTTAGTCAGAATAACTCATTGTTTACAGGCGGCAATAAAAATGGCACAAAACTGAAAATGTTGGGCATAAAATAGTTTGCAACCAGTGAAGGATCTGAAAAAGCGAAACGTTTTGAAATCGGAAACAATTCAGGCATTTTGTTACTGTCTACGAACACACATACTGGACTACTTTGTTGTCGTTTTTCACATGACTGGTGCTTTACAAACTTGAGTCTGATGAACACTTGCAGGTATATTACAGGCAGACACGAAAGGGAAACATTTAGCAAGCACACAGGTCTGTAACAAAGCTAGTCTACTTGCTACACTTTCTTGTGTCAAAAATATATTTATATATATGTTCAATAAAGCCAGAGGTATCAAACCCATATAAGTATTTGTTTTGCTCTGCGTACCCTCTTTAAATGTTTGGGAATTATTTATTCTGGGAAATCCTGTTTGTATGTAGCTATGATGCCAGTCTTCCTGTATTGTCTGATTGTAGTGACCTCTGTCTTCGCTGGCCTCTGGAGTCACCGCGTGACTGTATTGTCTCATATTCTCCAAATTGTCCAACTGGCTCCACAGGTATAGTCTCTACCTCAGGTGCAGGCTGGTAGCGGGTGGCTAAAAAAATATTTGGCCAATTAAAAGAATAATAATAATAAAATAAAATAGCATGTGGCTTCAATACAGTTTTGCATTGAACAATTTTAATACTATGCTGTAGACTTAACAAATGTTCTTGTTAGAAATAGAAATTATTGCCTCCTTTAGTACCACAAAAACAAATGAAAACTAAAACACCTTTAAATTTAATTTCAAACTTTTACAGTAAAATCCAACATGATATTTCATTTTTTAAAAAGTGGTAAAATGACCAGCTTATACCACTATAAAAAAAAAAAAAAAAAACATGAATTGGCTGGAGAAACACATTTTGCACTGACTCAACCAATGTACACAAATACCATGATGACTAAATAAACAAATGAAACATGCTTTAGTCTGGATCAGAGCTACAGAGCTAAAAGGTCACTAAAGCGTCATGAACAGGGTTTATGCCAGGTGTAAGTAAGCAGTGGGTTATGAGGCACAAGCTCAATGAAAAGGTTAACATGAATTTTCTTTTCTTTATTATTAGTAAAATGTCCCGGTTCAGTCATTTACAAAGCAAAAAGAAAAGAAAAATGAGCTTTATTTACACCTCTATTATTATTCTGATATCCTCTTTGTTAGTAGCTGAGTTGGTCGGTTTGTACATGCTGCGTCCTTCGTAGAAAATGCCCAGTCTCTGTTTTTTTTTTTTTTTTTTTTTCCCCCATTGGCTTGTAGTTCAATATGCAAACAGGCCAGCAGGTTGCCATCACTGTAGCTTGTAGCCGTGACATTGTGTTAGTGCCAGCACGCTCCGTTTTCTTTCTTTTTGCATTTTTTTTTTTCCTTTTGCAATGTTAAATATGTCCATGGTGATTATTCTTACAAGCCCCAAAACAACTGGACAAACATCTCAGAAACAGGATCTCAGAATGTAAGCGGCACTGACGACTTAGAAAGTTTACTATGCCAAACCTGAAAACAGTTCAAAAAGGGTGTGCGTTACTAGCAGTTAATTAATGTGCAATGTAAGTCATCATACATCAGCTAATTGCTTTCATGCAACTTTCAAAACTAAACATCAAATGTCAGGAGGTATTAAAATGTAGTATTTTACAAGAGGCCCCTCCTATTCCCAGAATACCTGTTGTAAAACTTAGCACAGTGGGCTTGCCAAAGTTCTGGCTTCGTTCACATTAGAAATAATACACATGGGATTGTACTATTTTGACCTATGTTTTCAGTGTAAAAAATTTATAAGATGGATGGTTAATCTGGCTAGAAGTCAGATGCTTGGGGTCTCTTGGTGGCTAATTAGTGCGCTAAAGCTCCACAAAGAAAGACCTCCAAAGCCAAAAGTGTCAAATTATTTGGATCCTTCTTAAAAGTAGAATTAACAACTTGGCCTCAGCAACATAAAAGGAACATTAGCTAAAAGAGGCTATAAAGTCAAGAAACTATAGCTATAATCGGCTGTCTGAAACTTTGCACCATGTAGAAAATTCTCTAAAATGGCATTTCTAAATGATTAGTATGAGGCCAAAATTAAACTCAACACCAACCATATTCCAATTATTTATTGTTTTTTTTTACTTCAAAGGAAAGTACAGAGTCTGTGTAGCAGAACAACTTTTAATTAAGTTTTTTCTGCATGTGATAAACCGAAAAGTCATTGCAAGCTGAAATATCAATGGTTTAGTTTTGTTGAACTGATAAATGGACTGAAGTAACTCTGATGAGTATTTGATTAAACTAAATAAATTTCTTCCAAAGTTTCATTGCGATGATAATTGTAGCTATCTAACTGCTGTATGAGTCGCATTTCATTTGCGGGAAACTGAACAGTTTGCAGTTTAGCGGAAGGAAAGTTATAAGGAAAAAGTTTTATCAAAACACTGATTCGATCCTTTCAGCTCTCATGTGAGAATTTGTTATAATTCCTGGAATTGCATAAAAACACTACTTATCACTGTTTTCATCATACTTTGATTTAAATATCAAAGATTTTGACGTACAAAACAGTACTAACACTATGTTAGCACCAACAAAGCGAGTCGCAAAGAGCTCCATGGTGAAGATTTCAGACAGTTAAGGCATCTGCATAATGTAATTACTTTACACTATGTCCTGTTTTTTCAAGACATGACTTTCATATAGGGTTTATGTCAAAGTTCTACTTTTTAATCTATGTGTTCTAGTCCTTCACATTGGGTCTGAAAGGGTTTTAACTTTGTTTAATAACTATTAGGAACCCCTACATAAAAACCTCCAAACATCATCAATAAAGTATAGCAATGAGTTGCAAATATAATTAGTCTGCATACATTTCACCTATTTTTTTTACAAGTCAAACCATGCAGGACTTAGACAGTAGTGGGTGTACCTGTGTATCCTTGTCCATTATATGGAATGCCCACACACTGAGAGGAGTCGCAGTATCCAGGGGGGCCTGGTGGTCCCCTCACACCTGGAACACCTTGACGGCCTTGAGGCCCACGAGGCCCAGAGGAACCAGAAGGACCCGGGGGACCTGTTCTCGACTCTCCTGGTGGCCCTGCACAAAGAGAGTGAGGACCGTTTAGGAAAAGGGAGTCCCTCTGGAATTTGAGTGACATCACCTGTAAACTTTCTGTGGAAACATGGAGCTGCAGTTTCAATTTTTCAACTGCTCAATTAGAGAGTTTGACTAAGAACAAAAAAAAAAGCGAGACACAGTCTGGGGTTGAGTGGAGTTACCCCCAGCCCATCTGTCTAGACAGCACAAACTCAGGATGGAATTTTCCCCTTTCACCCCCCCAATCCCCCCGCACTTCTCCGCAAAGTGAATCCATGTGTTGTCAATGCAGTCACCAAGGAAAGCTCATTCTTCAACAATCTACATCTCTTCACCCTCTCTTCCCACCCCCAACACACGCACTCATAGAACTGAGTCATCAGTGTAGACTTCCTCTCTCCAGTCCTTGGTGTTTTCTCCCTTTATTCAGAAACAGAGTCTTCAGTGTTTGCTGTTGAGTAACAGACATAAGTAAACGTTTCCTGTTGCTTTGATTTGAACTGCAAAAGGGATGGAAATGCTATAGAAAATCATAGAGTGCATTTAGGAAAACATTCTAAAAACATAAGAAATTTTAGATGTTTCTACAACAGGATATTGGCTCCGAGTTAGAATGGACAAAACTAGTCCATTTAGTTTTTATTTAATCCTTCCTGAATATATAACCACCATTAGCTCTGAATATTCAAATGTGCTGGCCAAACATGATATTCATGACAGAATCCCCACCTAGAAAAAGAAAAAAAAAAGATGGGAAATATGTACTGTGACAGCCCAAATAAAGGTGTTGAATTGTAAGCATAGACTGCTTTTGTCCAAATAGATACAACAGAGGAAGTTTCATATTACTGACTCTGGCGAAGTTTTGCCAGTGGAAAAAAAAAAAAAAAAAAAAAAAAAAAAAAAAAAAAAAGTTTTGGGGCCTTGGTACCTTTTTATTTTTTTTTTTTAATTTTTTTTTTTTTTTT